AATATATATATATATATATATATTGATAAATAAAGTGCATGACATTCATAAGAGCGCATGATAATATTACAAGCATATGAATGCATGCACAGATGCCGATAGGTAGATCAAAGTAGCCAGGGGGAACAAATTGATGACAAGAGAACAGCATATGCGCTAGCTTTTGTTTGCTCTTCTACGAGTCTGCTTTGGCTCGAATATGAAGTTACTCCTCTGTGCGTATTCGTTCACTGGTTGGGTCCGCCTACTTCTCCGTTGTCGTCGTGCTGGTTGGTGCTGGAATTCTTGTCTCCTCTGCTGTGTGGACCACTTCAAAGACACGGAACGAAAATAAGCTGCAATTCGTTTTTCTGTAGATTAACGTGCTGACAAGAGATGAGAATTGCAATCTGCTTCACCAAGCAGTCTGAAGTGCAGAGGTATGAAGGTTCTGGGGACAAAATCGTCAGTCTGGAGGCAATAATGTGGAGACGTCTGGAACATTCAATATATTTTAATGCAATATACTTTGAGTTTATCGCATGTCAATACGTGGGTAGTACATATATTAGCAGGGCGGACAGGTGGGAGCAGCCCTCCTCAAACCGCAGAACAGGAACTCCAGGTGGGTTACAGCTCCTTCTGCAAAGCAGCTACAGGAAAATGCTGTGATATTAAACTTATCTGTCTAAAATACGGAACGGCAAATTGTTTATTCATATCATTCTGCACACCCGGGGTAGACGAGGCGCCAGAGGGACTGCTGACCGAGCTTTGAGCGTTTATCCTCCAGATTCAGACGCCTGTACAATGGAAATTTGCATCATAAATTGGCTTAATTTAGTGAACTGAAATTCACCAGAAGTTTACACTCTCATAAACATTAGACAAGGCAGACTGCTGTGCCTGCACGACACGGTGGACCATCGGTTAACCGTGTGGCTGCTAGCGCTTGTGGCTTCTGAACTAGTGACAAATTTTGTCCCGGACGAAGCAGATTCTTTGTTTTAAATATTGAGAATATGCAAAGGTGCTCTACTAAAACAAGACTCAACCCATTATGGGCTGCTGCTCTTCTTGTTTCCGCTGCGACCACTACAGGCGCCCTTCGGGCACCTGTGGGCGGCTGGGGGGTACAACAGCAACGGAAGGAGCCAAATTTGGCAGCTGTGACTGATCTAGGTGCCTACCCGAAGTACAAAGGCGGGAGGATCGCTAATGAGTTAAACTTTATATCTTCCTTGCAGGTTGCGTCAGCAAGCGCTCAGCACGCAGAAGAAGACGAGCCCTCAGAAGGATCTGCAGCAGAAACTGCTGCCTCTCATGGGGAAAAGGAAAGGCACACAGAAAAGGAAAGCCACATGGAAGGAGAAGGGACGGAAGAAGAGAAACATGAAGAAGCTGGTCAACACGTGTCGGGTGGTAGCCAACTATCATCAGCTAAGGAACCACGAACTGCTACTGGAGCTCCGTTCCATGCAGTAGGGGAAACAGAGACAATAACTGGCACAAGTTCAGAGAAAGAGAAGGAAGAAGGCCTACATCCTGCAGGAAAGGAGTCAGCAGCAGAGCCTTCTGCAGCCCCTGAGGGAGCACCTGCAGAAGGAAGTGCAGTAGAAGCGGAAAGAGCGGCGATGCCCGTTCACCAGCACAAGGTAGCAGCAGCCAAACCAGGAGATATTGCTGCAGAAGGAGCCATACATAAACCAGAGCACACGGGAGAATCTAGGAAAACGACAGATGGAGCTGCTGGTTCTGCTCCTGTGCCACAAGCAGACAAGTTTGTGATGCAAATGAACTTTAGGCCATCCTTGGTAATTGGACGGGCTGAAGCTGACAGGACGGAGCGACATGTCATCAGAGACAATGAGGGGGCACCTTGGTTTGAAGTGACTGGCCCTCAAAGCCTCACAGTGCTCAACCTGAAGCCCGTACAAGGAGAAGAACTCCTACACTCGCTAGTCGCCACCACTATGCAGTCATGAGAAAGCAAAAGGACTGATATGTACAGCATAGCAGCACAAAGTGCCATCTGTGCATCTGTGGGGTCAGTAATATGCGCCTCTCAAGAAGTCTTCCCGGATTACGCGAGCATTGTGAGAAAAGTGAGGTATGCTCTTTAACTTTATACGCCTTTCCTCGTACGTGTATGGACATCTGTCTTGAGGTGCATGCACGAAAGTACACCAGAGAAATAATAGGCGAATTGCTTTTGCCCCCTGAACGTTTTTCGTGCCCCCGGCAAGATGTGGTGTTACTCCCCATTGAAGCACGCAAAACGAGCCTCCAAATACACTGTTTCAAATATATTCTTGTCCTATGCGACTACTTCAAGCGCAGGTGGCTGCCTCTCATTGCTAATCGAGGCAGCATCAGCAGAGACCACTGGCGGCTGTGTATGTCATCGTCTGTAGCAGCACAATGGAAAGGATGTTTCCTCGCTGTCTTTGTTTCGGGATGCAAAGGGCTTTAAAAATAGCCGCACAACCTTTCCTTAGCAAGACAAAATCAACCCGCATGCGCATGCATGCGCCAAACTGCGCGGCGGACAGAAAAGAAATTCAAAAGCTGCCTTACGCCCCTTCGACCAAGACCACAGTGTTTAGCGGAACGCAGACTAGCCCCCAGTAAAATATAATGTGAATAACACACATTCCGTGCAATACCCATAGACAATTTGAGGGGCGGGAACAATCCCTTTTGCCTCTATCTGTGCCTATCACTTTGCATCCGGTTGCTGGAATTCGTCGGCCTCGTCTGTGTCCTGTGCTTGCCCATCTCCTGGTATTTGCGTTATCTTCAGCCTGCCTGCCCATCCTATTCAGTTTTTGTTTTTCTGTGTTGATCCTCCCTCTTCTTCCTTACCTCCCCTTCACATATCTGCGGTGTTGTTCATGTGCGCCTCCTGCGCCTCCCACTTGCGCCGGTTCATCGCCTGTGCATACACCCACGACAAGTTCAACACGCGGCAGCAAACTGCAGTCTTCAAATGCACAGACCAAACATAACAAATATCAAAACGCACGACCTCCAGAGTGGCCTTTCCTTAACCCTCAACAGCTAGCTGCTTGATGTGCACAAGAGAGAATAGAACCGCTTGGGGACTCCCAGGATAGCTACCTAGTTAGCTGCGTAATGACACATTTAGGCCTGGCTTCGGATGCTTTAGGCGTCAATGAGGTAAATTTGGCGGCGTGGAGTGCGAACCCTTGTTTTTGTGTTTTCATATCTACCACATTCTCTGCGCAGCTAGCTATCTGGTGACCTGGCCTGCTAACTGGATTTCAAGCAACTAGCTGGGCTTGTGCCGATGCTTCTACACACCTTTAAGCGCTCCTCTTCGAACCCGTTGCCCCGCACAACTCCGTCCCACCGATACCCCGGCTTGATGCCAAAGCGGTTGGGCGGGCCGTCGTGGGGGCACGTGGGTCGCTCTGCACGCGCACCACAACCCACCACACTAGCTAGTTGCATAGCTGCCTATATCCAGCTAGACCGACCTAGCTCCACAATTAAGCTACCTTGCCAGACTCGTGTTGATGTGCCTAGCAAGCCGAACAACTTGCTAGCTGAAGCGGCCAGCTGATTGGTTGCTGGGAGAACTCGGTGGTAAGATAGACACAAGAAAATCCAACTAGCTAGCCAAGAAGGGGAGGCTAGCCGCCAGCACAGCGCACGAGAGGGAGGACCCTGCCAGCCCAAAACCAACGCAACCGGGAAAAGAGCAGACAGCAGCAACAGGCCTTTGCGATGTATTGCACCAAGTGTTATGTGGGAGACAGCTGGTACTGCGCTTTTGCTCCTTTTTTTTGCTCCTTAAAAATAGAGTATTCGAGCAGCTATCAGTGGCGGCCAGCAGCCGTGGGCAAATTGTGTTGAAGTGTATAGGGAAATTTGCCTGTTTTGCTGTTGCTTTGCGTGTCTTCCTCTTGGTGTTCTTTTCTGTACTTCTTGAACGAGGGGGCCCTGGACAGGGGATCGTCCCACCTTTCTCTTGCCCGTAGCTCTGCGTCATCTTCTTCATCGATATCATATCTACAAAGCAGCAGAAAAGTAAACAAAAGCAGACAGAGACATGTGTGAGATCCCAACACACCTTCATAAAATTCCCCCAAAGCACCTTTGCATGTATATAAGATATAAAATAATTATATATATGCAAATATATAATAGATAGTAATATTCATACATGTATATAGTATGTCTGCAATAAGTATATATCTATGTCAGCTTATACTATAACTACTATATATATACTATATCTACAGAACTATATATATATATATATATATATA